CTGTGGAGAGAAAAGATCTATTGTTCTCAGTCTGAAACACCATACTGCCACTCTCCCTCAGACAGGAAGGTGCCCATGTGTACTGTATACATACAATGGCCAGACATGGGTATTTTCTCCTAATTCATATGGTTCCCAACATCAGACAGCAGCACAATACAGCCATCTTGGCTGCTATACTCCTAGGCACTATGTGACCTCCTTAACAGGACAGACAAACCCTGTTCTTAAGCCAGCCAAGCCTTGGGTATACCACTGTGAAACATCTATGTTATGGGAGAATTATAAGAGCTACATGGGTTAGTACATGTAAAGTGCTTACAACAGTGCCTAGTCCGTAACTAACATTTGCTGAGTGCTATCAGTATTAACAATATTACTAATGCTATTGTCTCCCAGTCTCCTACAGTGAGATCAAATAAGACCTGAGGCCAAATATGTGGATGGGTGACTAGGGCTACTAATCCCCAGTCAGAAGGTGACCAGATCCAGTTCCTCCTGGACCAAACCGGGCACAGGACTCACTGTGATTCAAGGACATCTCTGGGAGGAACAAAGAAAGAAGGAGTAGAACTAACATTTGGTGAATTCTGACCATGTATCAGAACTAAACTCAGTATACATACCCTCTTGTTTAAGGTCTATAGCAGTGAGGGCTTCTGAGTTCATCTTAGAGATACAGAACCAAAATAACATGGCAGAGAGCCCCAGTGTCTGGGATGGGAAGGGTAGAGCGAAAGCTGCTCCTGCTGTGGTTTTTTTCCCTTCTCTGGTTTCAACCCCATATGGACACTCCCCATGATAGTACATCTAGGCTGTTATTCATTCCTAGTACAGACAGGGCAAAGGAAGGAGTAGGGGACTTTTTAGGTGAGAAAACAAAGATTACCAAGCTTGTATCAAAATAACCTCTTCCAAAAGCCTAAATAACTCTTTGTAGGGTGAAATTTTAAACCTATACAGCCCTGAGAGGGTCAAATCAAGAGCTATTTGGTTCCATTAGCCCCACCAAGAACAACAGGAGAGTTAAAGAAAACGGAGGACCAAAACAACCCCTATTTAGGGGATAAAAAAGAATTCCTTCTTCCATGTATGTTTTATGGAAGGATTATAAGGAGGACCCCACCACCAGTCATACCTGCTCTTGTTCCTGAAGCACATACCGCAGAGAAGGACATGGTTATTAGTGGTGTGGTCTCCCGAGAACCTCAGGAATCTACTTGGGTCACTACTAGCCCTGATCCACATAGGCTCTGGCCATCCTAGTGCGATTAACTGCTCATCTAACAAATGGGAACCAAAAGGAAAAGTTGTATTCCCTAATCCTATGGATAAATCTCCTATAGTTTCCATCCACCACCTGTCCATCTTCGAAAAGCACTGGCCTTTCATCAGAAGAATGATGCTAAGGGTTATAGGGAATAAAGGTACACTACGGAACTCAGTATCCAAAGAGAGGCCTGAATTTTCTACTCTGAGCTCTTCTTCTACTGAAGGATTATGCAGGTTAAATTTGATAATCCTTCCATGAGTTTTTTTAAACACAGGAGGGAAAAGGTTCTTGCTGTTGGTTATCATTCCCAGATATATATATTAGGATCCTTATAAGACAAGAAATAGGGCAAGAAAAAGGGGTCCTTGTATGGAATAAGGGTACGTTCTTGCACCAACCTTTATCCCCCAACAAGAATCACTGAGAAGCGCCACTGGTTCATGTCCTCCCATCTCCCATCTCCTCCCCATGAGTCTGAATACAGAAGTCCAGACTCTCTCCCCTCTCAAAAGTTCCTTTGACTGGGAAACAACTGTTAATGTTACTCATTCTTGCTAAGACCTGTCAGATGCCTGATGAGCTTTCGGAGCCTGGACCTAAAAGAGGTTGGCTCCAGCTGTCAGAAGTTCTGAAATAAATGTTTCTATGGCATGGGGTGAGAAAAGGAAAGAGAAGCTAGGGATCAACAGAACAATACTTTATAGTTGCATATCCCTTTGTAGCATACAAAGCTCTTCATATATATATGACCTCTTAAAAATAGTTCAACAGACAATGAAAGAAAGTAAAATATCTACAGACCCTGGCATGATGGGAGTCCAGACCCCCTGCCAGTCCCCTCAACCTAGGAGAAGCCCACTTCATCCTTTTCCTCTCTCCACACCTTGTGGCTGCTCTGGGTCTAGAATCCTGACTGCTGATGAAAGAGGGATGGCTTGAGCATCTTCCTAAGCAAAAGAAAATAAAACCACCTATTAAATAGAGGAGAAGTAAAAAGATTCCATTCATTTTGCTCCTTAACAGCCAAAAAGAGTCCTGCACTGACACATCTGAGACCATTTTTCTCACCTATGGTGAGTGAAGAGTTTGCCAATCATGCAAAACAAACACTAAACAAATTATATTTATTAAATATCATTTTAATAAAAAGTTACCTCCTTTAATGTCACTGATTTGCCCTTTACAATGGCATCTCTGGCCTATCAACTGCATTCCTCCTCCCCTCACAACCATTCCTGACTCCCTGTTCTCTCCAGATGGGACTCTGACTCACTGTAGACACAGGCAGGTGGAAAAACTGGCCCAAGAAAACCTAGCTACGCCTAGGTGAGGCTGCAGTGCCCAATGGCAAAAGCCTTCCACCCATATTGCTCAGAAAGTGCTCTGAGCTCTGCTGAGCTCAAGAGAGCAGGGGATATTTATTCTCTGTCCCTTCAAGCAAGAGAACAGACGGCTGCTAAAGTAGCTGAGGACTCCCTCCTATCTATCTACACACCCACAATCACATTTACAAATTCTCTTTTCTATGTAATTGTGTAAACACACAGAAAATATGGCCAGCTCAGTGTAAAAGGATTTTCTAAGTCCCTAAGGGATTGATGGAAAGTAAAGACCCCACACAGCACACACCGCAGTAAGCGTTCACACAATCAGCACGGACAAAAGGCAGGGAGCCGGAGGGCTGGTAATACCTCTAAGGTTGTTGAGTCCCTCCAAGAACTTCTGGTACTTGTAAGCGTTCATGGCCCGGCCCAGCTGTGTTAGTTCAGTGGCTGGAAGCAGGCACCATGGCGCAGTGACAGCTGAGAAGTGAGAGTGTACAACCGGACTGATCTCTCCTACAGCGTCTCCGAGCCCCCAAGAACTGGACTTTGACCACATTTACAAGTGACGTCACCAGAGAGGCCTCATTACATTACAGCCCTTTGTGAGCGCTCATTTGTCACAGTGAGCGGAAATACCTCCCCAGGAGAGGCCAGCCCCTCCTTTGTGCAAATGAGACAAGAGACCACAACAGCCCCTGCCGATCATCTGCCACCTCATCTGCCACCTCCTCTCTAGACCCCAGTCCAGGCTCCACTGGGATTACTGCTCTCTGGTTTAAACTCTAGGGAGAGAGGCTTAAATGCTTTTCAGGACACCAGCTAAGAGCTCATCTAACATTTGAGAATGAAACCTTTAAAGGGCCGCATTCACCACAAGAATGCCACCACAACAGGAGCTCTTGGGCAAATATCACATGGCAATGGGACAGGTTTTACAAAATAAACACTCTGCACTCTCCTTCCAGCAGTCATGTTTATAGACTGGAACGTTTACAGCCACACACAGACGAGACACTGAACATCACACAGTTCAAGGCAAGGAGAGGAACAGAAACCGGTAAGCCCACTCCGGAAGTGCTAACTAAAAGCACAGTTCAGGGGGGCAGGACCTTCTCCACATAACGAGGGAGAAAATGCAGCCAGCACAACACCCGCTTGCTCCCCACTCCAGAGCACTACTCACTCCGCTGATTTGCATTAATGATTTCAGCAGCCGCTGCAGGTTTCATTCTGCTCCACAGTGGCACACCTTTTCCTTAAAGACTGACAAAGTATGTTTGTTTTTATAATTTTTGAGGGCAAGAATATTCCAGTTAGTTTAACCATAGTCTCAATCTAAATGTTTAACTCAAAGAATGCATTTTATTTGGAAAATAAAATTTACTCTAAAATAAAATTTGTGTATATAATTTGTGTATATAATTTTGTTACTGAAACTACAATTTTGTTATTGTACTTATACAGTGTATAAGTACAAGTTACTGAACAAATACACAAAAATGACACGTGACAAATATTAACGAAGAGATTTGTGTTTAATTTATATGCAGTTATTTTATATTTTTAGCTCACCTTGTTATACCTAAACCTAAGTTCTCTTACGTCTCTAGCACCGGAATGTAAAATGTGCATATGCTTTTGGTTTTTTGGTTTTTTTGAAGACCAGGAATGTGCAGTTTTTTTACTGTTTAAATGCATATACTTATTATGTAATAATATAACATTTGTCATAAAAGTTATAGTTTAATATTAAAAACCCACTTTGGGAAGTGAAAAAGATTTTCATTCTACTCCATTAGTCTTAAAGAGATGACACCTAACCTTCCCCCGCCAAACAGGCTCTTAGGATAAGCTACACAGATTATAACCAAAGGAAATTTCTATAGCATTTTTGTTTAAGGAATCCAAATGGCTCACCTGCATTATTATACTCATCCTTAAGAATATTTTTATGAAAATAACTGTAAATTTCATTTACACAGCCTGTCCAAAAGTCACACATCAAGCCAACGAGAAAACATGGAAAGAACCTGTTTCCCAAACTTGAGCTTGGTATTCTGGCTCATCTTACCTGACATCCTAGAAAACCATGAGCAACCAACCCAGTCCGACTCCACTGATGAACCAGCCCCTCATGAGAGAGAGAACCTCTCCCGGTCTGACGTTTTTCAGAGCAACCCGCCATCCAGGCTGCTGCTCCGTGGCCTGGGGTAGAACTCAGGGTGCAAAATAAAACATTCCACAACACTCCAAAGAGAAAAGATCAGACTAAATAATATAGCAGCTGCTATGATCACCAACTTTACCAGCAGCCGGCCACTGTGTGAAGATCTGAGTATTAGAAGTTACAAGGGATCAATAAACGATTCCTTTTCTCAAAAGAACAACTTAAAGGCACGATGAAAAGGTCAAAAGGGAGTTTGATGCTTTCAGAGAACAAATTAGACAGAGGAATAGTTAAAATATATGTATAAATTCTACAATATATTACTGTGAGAATCATAGTATCTCTGACGTCACCTGGTCCAAGAGACCAGGTACCTTGGAGCCATCTGGGAAACAAGACTGTGGATGAGAAAGACCAACATTAAATAACAGTTCAGAACATGTGTGCCTGTTCCTGGTGTTATTCCACCATTTCTCCAGAAGAGTGTGGGAAACAGAGTACAGTGGGGGAAACTCTGGTTGCAGGATTAAGACACCTAGAGTCCAGAATCTATCTCAAGATCCAACTTTGCCACTAACTAGCTATGTGAGCAGGAGCCTGAAATTCCTATAAAATGCTAGTTCTTACCCCATCCCCGTTTTTTCTAGGTCACTAGCTCCAGTGAGAATCTGATGAAAACTAAGTATGCTCTCCCAGAAAAGGGTACATATTCATCTACTTGCAAACATTTGTTTACAAGTAGAGAAGGGTCAATGAACCACAGGCAAAGAACCTCTGAATTGATCTCTAAGACTTCTTTTGTGTCCTGATCTGAAAGTAACTAATATAGTGCAAGGAAACCATAAGTATCGAAAAGAACAAGGTTTAAAGAATTATCAACCAGGCAGAAAAGGTCTGGATTTAATACCACTGTAAAATTCTATCAGAAACTCCTCCCAACCCAGGGAAAAAAAAAAGCAGTCCAGACAACAGGAATCTAATGGCAGGAACAACTGACATTTAAAATAGCCACTTGAACTAAGTGCATTTATAAGACAACACATGCTAGCTTGTCATTTCCTCTGTGTGTTTCACCATATCAGATAAAAATATAACAAAACAAGGATGTTTGGAATTATGAAGTGAGTGATGGTTCCGAAGAGAGGTTCTCGGGAAGGGGGAGGGGTGCAGTGGCCTGGACTCCAGCTGTATTCTTGCAGACAATGCACCGTTTCCCAGGAATCTGAGCATTCCAGAGCACCGTCATTGTATACTACGTCCACTCGCTTTTTTCGGGGCTATCCATTTTTTATACTCCAATAGGTTCCAGTGAATGGCCAATAGTGAATGCACCCTCGGGTGGTAAGAGACATTCTGCCCTAAATTCCAGAGGGAGACAGACAAATGTGAAAGGCTTGGATCTGGCAGTCCAATAGGCACTCTCTGGCCAGCTGCTGACAAAGGCGGGGAAAGCATGCTGTCTCCAACAGCCTTTACCAAGGCACAGACACCTAAGAGCTGAGTGAAACCTGACTGAATGCAGGCAGATCAGGAAGTCCAGACCACAGTGTATGAGGTGTGGTCCTTAGGGCTTCTGACTCTATAATGACAAAGACAGTTAAAAAGAAAAGCTGTCCTGCCCTGCCCTGCCCTGAATGCCAGGGCCCAGGGGGAGAAAAGGCCTGAGCCAGGTTCAGTATATTACTCCTAAAACAGGTGGGCAAGTCTGCCAGCAAAGACTTAGTAGCTAGGGAGAAGTTCTAAATCCATGAGGAGATAGTAAAAACTATCTTAGAGTTCCCCAAAGCCATATAGAAATCAAACCTTCCATAATTCCTCTTAAGCAATCTTTCTCCTAAAAATAAAGGTGGTCCTCCCACTAGCCCCTCACATCAGGGGTCAGTGAAACTAAATTGGACAACCACTTTAAGGAATCCACCCAATCACTCACTCATTCATACATTTGTTGCATACTAACCATGCAAGCACCCAGCACTAATCTAAGTGCTAGGAACACAGAACTCAGTCTGATGAGAGAGAGCAGGAATGAATTTGTCTCCTCGGATTCAGAGGAGATTAAGGATCATGAGTGGTCAGACTGAGGGCACAGCTGACACCCAACTGCTCATTCTCTAGACCAGCCCTGAAGACAAGAGGCTTATAGACATGAAAGGTAACTCCGCTCATATAAATACATCCATTTTCTTTGAGGCAGGACTGACACCCTACAGCCAGTTGCCACTATTACCCCAAAGCAGCTGCTGACCCCAGGAAGACAGCAAAAATGTCTCCAGTGACTGAAGAAGCCAGCAACAAAAGCAGGTGCCAGGTTCATGGCCCTATTCAGGGAACAACAAAGATCACTTTCTTCATTGTTCCCCGGGCAGCAGCGTCTGATGCAGGGAGGGGTTCAATTACACCTTGTCCCTCAGGTCTGCTAGACAGAAAATGAGTTCGCTATCTGAAGACAGAATTGTCCAAAGCTCTCTCTGCAGGGCTGAGGAGCAGAAGACAGAAAAAGCCAGACCTCCTGTGCTTAGAAGGAGAGGACTGCAATGGCAAGACGAATGGAGACTTTAACGGAAACGAAGTGCAGGTCTGACCACAAGTGTCAGAGGAGTTTTGCCCACTCTGCGCTCACCCTAGGCTGAGAGAGGTTCTTTGCGTGGATCAGGCCTATCCACAGGGCCTGACAACAAGCTTAAAAAGGGCTGTGCTTAGGGTACAGACCCTCAAATAAGCTCTCTCTCCTTGATCCTTTTCTTTTGGCTCTGTCGTCTGTGGAGAAATGGGTGAATCCTAATGGATCCTCTCCCCACGGTGGTCATGTAATACTACAAGACCAAACAAGGTAAAACTAAGCAATTGGGAGAGAAGGCAAAAATGCCTGTTCTTAGGGTGAACCTGCACCTGTATGACCTTAGCTTATCGCCTGACCTGAAACTAAGGCTCACCTCTGTTTATAAATGCCTCACTCCTGGGCGTTCTGAGCACCTAAATAAAAGATCACAGGCAAGAGTCACCTACCACTGGACGGAGGTTACAAACCTTTAAAAGAGAGGTAGGAGGAAAGGAAATTCATTTCAACAAAAGCTTGCTGAAACAGATATAGGTATCCAGGTGTAATAGAGATCAACAGCTTCCCTCACTCCCCCAAGGCCAGTTTCTCTCATGAACTCCATCAGGACCCAGCCAGAGGTCACGGCTGCACATGCAAGTCAGTTAAAAGAAGGCGCCAGCTAAGCAGTCACATTTATTTTGACAAACCCCGGAAGGGGGGAGGGAGGAGTGCTTGCTGGCTCAGTTCACCTGGGTTATACTCCACCAACAATAAAACAAGTCTCCAAAAAGACAGGCCACCAACTTCCAGGAGCATTCCTTTGTTGCTTTGAGCAGAGGAAGAAGGTAAAATAAACATTTTTGAGAAGTCAGATTCTAGACACTATAAACAGCATAATGGAATTTTCTTCTGAAGCTGTCTTTTGCTAATAATGAGGTAACTTTTTTTTTTTTTTTTAAGTTCAAGATAGACTGTATAGTGATGACTCCAGGATGGCAGAGTATGGGTTCTAAGAAACTTATTACTCTTGGATCTAAGATAAAATTCTGTGAAAAGACATCACATTGTTAAGTAGAACCTTAACGAAGGTGTCAACATCTATTTAATGAGTAACAGTTGTACATATGTATCTGCTATAGTATTATCATACTAATTTATATTCGTAAAAAAATTAAAGCAATGGATGAAACAATCCATCAAATCTAGAAATATGCAAAACCTTTGATCCAGCAAGTCCACACCTAAGAATTTTTCCTAAAGATATACATAGGCAGGGGGATGGGAGTGGCTGGGAAGGGGTCAATGGGGGGGAAAGGAGACATATGTAATACTTTAAACAATAAAAAAAAAAAATAATGGATATACATACTTCTTCATTTCTGAATTATTTGCTCAGACATTTTCCAAAATTTGCATTGAGATGTTTGTTTAATTATTAATAAGATTTTTTAAATGTCTTGATATTAACTCATACCTTAAATGCTACAATTATCTACTGTGAGTTGTCTTTTAATGTGTTTGACCTGACTTTTGTTGTTTGACCTGATTTTTATGTAATAAAATATAAAATTTTGATGGGTTAGAAACGGTTATGTAATACATTTCTTAATAACAAGTTTCTTATGTGATCAATAATCTGTTTCCTAAATTACTTGAAACTTATTGACATTAAATGAATTAATAAAAAATTTACAGATCAAGTTAATAAAGTAAAAACTTAAATTTTTAAAAGATATACATATGCTAAGTGACAAGTATACAACAAAGGTTTTCATTACATCACTTTGTAAAAGCAACAGATGAGCAACTGTTCATCAGTAGGGAACTGGCTAAGTAAATGATAGCGCATTCATATGACAGAATAATAAGCATGGAGGGGAAAAAAGAGGTTTTTATGGACAGATATAGTCTTTATGAACCGATATGGGTGAATCTCCAAGATTAAAAAAACAAAACAAAAAATGTCAGAACAGAGTGTATGTTAGCTCTCATTTATATTTTTTTTAAAAGGAAAATGAATATAGAATTTAGGTTCCATAAAGGCTTGGATTTTTACCTATTTATGTATTCACTCTTTATCCCCAAAGCCTTACATAGTACTTGGCACATACTAGGTACTCCATAAATATTTGCCAAATTAATTTTTAATTCATAAGATATGTGAATTAATAAATGCACATATCATCTAAGGAAAGAAGAGCAAGATACCGATCATACTGATTGTCTTCAGGGTGGAGAAAGATGGCTGGGGTGAAAACACAGATTTTTCACTGTAGATACAGTTTGTACCTTTAAATATTCAATTATGTGAATGTGTTACCTAGTCAAAAAATAAATGAAAGTTTAAAGGCCAAAATTTTGAGGTTCTGTATCCTGATCCCAGTATTGCCACTGGCCACATACCCTTCTCACACAATCGTTCATACATTCTACAAGCCTACACCCTGTATCCCTGCCCTGTGCAAAATTTGTAGAGCACTGACATGAACTCAGAGTCCTTTTCCTCAAACAGCTTACAATCTAGAGAAGGAGATAAGCAAGTGACCTAACTTGCTGGTATTGATAAAAAAAAAAGGAAAGGCTTTCTGGAAAGAGATGATGTTAGAACTGGGACTAGTACAGTGAATTTGATTAATGGGAACAGGAGTGTTGTAGACAGTGGAAACAACATAGAAACACGAGAGATGATGCACTTAAGGGACTTAAAATACTTTGATATGGATAGAGTATAGGTACTCTCAATCTTAGGATAATGGCAGGACATGAAAGCTTTGCATGTCATGCTAAAGAAACCATGTATCAACCTAAAGATAATGGGGAGCTCAGGAGAGAGATCTGGCCCAGAGATCTGAGCCAGCAGTTGAAGCCATAAGTATAAATAAGATCACTCAAAGGTCAGGCAAGATTAGGGCTGAACCCTAGCCAGTGTGCCTCAACTGGTTGAAGCTTCATCCCATATACCTAAAAGGGCTCAATTCCCAGTCATGGGCACACACCAAGGTTGCAGGTTTGATCCCCATCAGGGCGTATATGGGAGGTGTCTCTCTCTCCCTCTCTCTCCCTTCCTTACTCTAGCCTTTTTTTTTTTTTTTTTTTTTTTTTTTTTTTTTTTTTTAGATTAGGGCTGAAAAATTATCATTGGATTTGGCAATTAGGAGGTGATTGTTGAACTTCACAATAGCAATTTCAGGAGAGTGGAGAGGGTTGGAAGCCAAAAGGCAGGTATATACCACTCTTAAGAATCTTGAGAGAAAAAAGAACATGGCTATAAAAGGGGATTCTCACTTAACATCTCTTGTATTCTATTTCCTCTCCCATAATACATCTCAATTTTATTTTAAGAAAAATAAGTAGGGAAATGCACATAAAATAGTGTTAGCACTTTTCCAGGTATTAGGTGTTGAATGACAATAATCCATTGTGTTATTATTACTATATAAAAGTTGGTTCCATTTACTCCATAAGTCACCAAATATTTGGACACTTATATACAAAATACAGAGCTGGCAATGTGGGAGATAAAATGGAGTTTATGACACAGTCCTCAAACCTCCAGGGGCTTCTAATCTCATAGAAGAAAATAATGCATACATATAAGCAGGATATTAAAGTACAATATAACTGATAAAGAAAAAAGTGATCATTAGCTTTTAGGAAACTAGGAACTAACTTCCAGAGGGGGGATCAGAAGTTCCCTAGAGGGCTTTGAAGCAGACTGTGAACAGTGGGTAAAATTCTGCATGGCAGATGCAGGGAGCGAGTGAGGTGCTCCAGGAAGACGGTGTGTCTGGCGTGGACGAGGAGGCAGTTGGCGAGCAG